CTAGAGGGCTGTGCAGCCGAGCAGCGAGGAAATCTGTTTCTGACTCAGTGTGTCCCTGTGCCTACGGCCACTGGTCCCTTCTGTGCCTAAGGGTGCGTTTAGGGAACTTCTCTCGTGCTCAAAAAAGACTTAAAAATTGGCAGCAGGAAACAAAAATCTTCCCAAGCTAAGACGAAGCCTCCTGATAAGAGCTATCTGGAGCTCAAGTCAAGTTGATCTAGAGGTATTTATTCCCGGAGATGTTTAACACCCTCTTTAATGGACTGGGAAGTACCTTATCATCCTCATGTGATGCAAACGCATCATCCCACTTCCTTTCAAGTACTGCCTGCTTCTGCCTTCCTCACCTCTGTGAACACACAGCGTTTCTTCAGGATGCCTTCACGAAAAACTCAGCTAAAATCCAAATCCCAGGGCTCGCCCAGCAGCTGCCAACTCTGCCGAATTTGCTCCTGATCTCTGAACTATGTGGAATGAGATGTCTGCAATTCTCACTACTGAATTTACAGACTGAAAATAAAAATCCAGTGTGCACTCCTCTGTGGCTGCAGGCTCCCCTCCCTGCCTTCTGCACCCCCAGGACTGGATGGGATGCTTCCAAAGCAGAAGGAAGCGAGTGAGCTGCCAGAGGAAAATGCATCTCAGCTCCTCTCAGAGCCTCTAAGACAATGAAGTGAGCAAGCACAGTAATGGGTAGACCAGGGAAAAAGGAGGAGGAATTCACACTGCAAACCAACCCCTGGTCATGAGGCTCTGTGAGCTCTCAAATCCTGCAGAGGCTTGATCCTCACCAGCACCAGACAAGACCAACTCCATGTACATCGGTGGGATTTAAGCCCCTGCACCCCCCTTCTAGGATTATCCAGCTGTCTGAGCTAAAACATTGCTTGAAATAGTGCTCTGAAAACCACCTCTCATCCACGCACCATCGCACACTCCAGGCTCACAGGGAAATTACTGGATGGATGGGATGTGTGATGGTGCAGGACAAGGCTCTGTCCCTCTCAAACACTTACAAGTCAGTGCAGCAAAGCCATAGCAACAAGAAAAACACTCTTCTTATTTCCCATCCAAGAGCAGCTCCTGCCATTCACTGATTGCGTGACCTTCTGCCAGCAGCCACTGAAGCAATCTTTGAAAACATTTCTGTATCATTTAAACCTGGTTACTCGGCCCTGGACTGTTTCTGCCAAGGTAGCAGCAGCAACTCCAGAGCAGAGAGAGAGAGCTTGGCATTTCAGTGCTGGGATTTGTCCTCTGAAAATCTGTCTATTCCTCCCATCACCAGTGGAAACCCTGCCCAACAGCGGCATAAAAAATAAATGCAAGGCTGAGGTCCAGTAACACAGAAAAGATTGTCTGAAAAATGACTGCAATAAAATAACCAATCATTTAAAAATGCTAATATTTAGCATTTGAAAATGAGGTGGAAGGATCATTATAGATAAATATCAAATATCTTCTATTCATTCCTTTTTGCTGCTAGATTGGGAAGGTCAGCAGTTCAGAGATGCCTTAATGCCTTGGTAGATACCATGAAATGGGGCTAATTCAGCTCTCTGGAAAGAGTAAGGGGCCTGATTTTTCACACATGTGAGAACTGGTAAAAAAATGGGGATAAAGGAAGATTTTACCCCAGAAGAACCTGCATGTCCTACTGAACCCTGTATAAACAACACAAGCCTCTGATGTTTTCCACTGTCCCAGAACAGATGTTCTGACTCCAAAAAACATATAGAAATATATTCTGTGTGAACTCTTAATTTTGTGAGCAACCACGTAAAGAGCTTCTCCTCTGACAGTTTTTTGTCCCTAAGCAGGGATAAAATGCTTTCTTTAAGGTTCTTCTGGCTGTGCTTCCTTCTGGAGACACTGGTTCCCTAATACTGATGTGCTTAGCAGCACTAATAGATTATACTTACACACACTTTTTTTTTTTTTTTTTCCTGAATAATGAAGTTAAAAGGCCACTTTGGCATAAATTCACTCATTGTTACCCTGAATGAAGCGAGTTTCTCCTGGTGCTGCTGCATACAAATAATTGCTTTTGGCCAAAGCCAAGGGAAACACGAGTCCATTGCTTAATTTATTTCTATTAACACCATCAAATGTTAGTGAGAGGAAGGCAGCAAAGTGGCACAATGGCAGTGCTCAGCAAGAGCAGCCTGGATATGCTGGTAGATAAAACCCTTGCAGGGGATATCTGCATAGTGCAAATTTTAATTATTTTTCCTCCCTGTTTTGCATTTGCATAAAAGTCAGAATTAGTTCTGCTGTCTTTAGAGGGCTCTTTCAGTTGGCAAACACTTGGAACTCCAAAGGCTGCAATACCTGAACTGTGCAACCCTAACCCTAACCCTGGGGAAGGGAGAGCAGCAGCCTGTGTCACACAGCCTGTGTTCCACAGACTGCCAGGATCCTCCAGGAAAAAAGGATGGCACTCTTTTCTTTCCAGTGCAAAGTATGAATAATAAAATTAGCAGGGGAATGCCTGTGGAGGGAACTGACCCCTGTTATTGGTATTATTACACACATTTTCTTCATGTAGCCTCAGCATTAGCAGCTCCAGGTCCAGCCACAGCTACTTGAGTGTGGCACTTTTCATTCAAGTTGCACCAGGGGAGGTTTAGATTGGACATTAGGAAAAATTTCTTCACCGAAGGGGTCATCCAACCCTGGAACAGGCTGACCACCATCCATGGAGGGATTTAAGCCAAGTCAATGTGGCACTTGGGGACATGGTTTAGTGGTGGGCTTGGCAATGCTGGGGGGAATGGTTGGACTCAGTGGTCCTGAAGATCTTCTCAACCTAAATAATGCTTTTGAGTCCCCAGGGAAAGCTGCGAAATGTCCCATGGGAGGGACATGCAGAAGGGACTGCACTCAAATCCTGCTGGATTCTCCCCAATAGATCCAACCATCTGAATCCTCTCCAGACTTTTGTCATGATGGAAAATTTCAATGCTTCAGAAGTCTGAGCAATAGGACTGATCTTTTTTTTTACTTTGCTCTCAGGAATCAGTTTCAGTAGCACAGTGAACAGCAAATTTTACTTCTTCCAAACAGGTTTTTCCCTTGGCTGCTATGGCTTGAAAAGCTTCGAAAGCTGCGCTGCAGTGTAATGACAGGAGCACAGGAGAAGGAAAACTTTAGAGGCAGGGAATAACATCAAACCATTTGATTTATGATCTAAACCAACAACTGCTGGTTGCCTCAGCTGGTCCCTTTTTGTTCCCACATGACATACGCTTCTATTCCAATCCCTGCAAGCTTCAGGAGTATTCATGTTAGCAGCACGTTATATCGATCTAGTGACAGTTCCAGTGCAAACTGCTGCACCAAAATTCAGGCTATAAACTCCAAATTACCAACCAAAGTTCTCAAAACAAGCATCCCTAAGTAGGCAGCTCGAAAACTCAAGATCCACTACTGAAGCCTCCCAACTTCTGGGTGGTGTGCTATCCTGAGAGTAAGATCAAACTGCAAGGCCAGTTTGCCACCTGTATAAATTGGGTACAGGAGTTTAATGAAGCCTTGCAGCACACATTTCCTTCAAGCATCTTCAGAGCCAAGAGGAACTGTTTGAAAATGTATAAATGGTGACAAGTCAAACTACTCAGTCCTCTGTATGCAGCAAACTTAACTTGAAACAACCACCTTAAATGCTGAAAAGCACAGGCAGCTTTCATGGCCCCTGAGTCCCTGACCTTGGTGAAGAACAAGATTGCAGGGTCTGCCACACCAACGCCACTCTGCCAGGAGCTGCACCAAAACCCAGCAAACTGCACAACACAAAGGTGGCTGGAACATGTTGAAGTGGTCCCAAAGTAGCAATCAGGTGGCACAAAGGAACACATCCATCCACTCCACACCCACAGCCCCATTCAGCCCAATCCAGTTCAGCCCAGCTGCCCCCCAAATTGTCCACAATTCTACTGCCATCATGAGCACAAAACCTGGCACATCAGCCTTTCACTTTCCAAAACCTGAAACCAATCCTGAAACTCACTCAGGTGTCAAACAAATGCAAAGGAAAAAACTCTGAGACACAGAAGTGCTTCCCACCAGATGCCATTTTGTCCTCCAGCAAGAAGGTTTCCCAACAGAATTGATGGAGGAGCTCGGTATCCCTCCAGCAAACCCACACTTTGCACTTTACACCCTGCCAGTGATGCTCTAACCCACATCCCTTTTAGAAGCTGCTGGATAAAAACCCCCACCGGGCGCTCAGGCTCCCAGCAATGTTTACCACTACAGCACCATGCAAACGCTGTCACATCTTGCCACTGGCAGCAATGTGTGAAATCAGGTTCAGGTTTCAGTGTGCTGGAAAGAAAATCCAGCACTGGCTTCCAGTGCAGATTGTGGGGAGCAAGTAAAACATACTTTTCTTTTTATAGACTGTTTCCATGGTGCACAGAGGTTCCCATAGCTAATTCTGCAGCTGCAGAACTTCAGAAAATTGCACAGCCTGGGTATAATCCTGTGGCAGGGTGCCCCATACATCCCCAAATTAAAATCCAGAGGCTTAACGCTGTCACCAAACAACAGAGCTGAGTCCCAGTTTGAGGTGGGAGCAGAGCGGCTGCAGCTGAACCCCTTCAAGTTGCTGAGCAGTTTAAGAGAGCCCTGGAGCAACCAAAGCTAGGTCTGGGCTTCAGACCCCATCTGCTAAAGCTCCCAGACATCAGTGGGAGATAAACAAATTACTATTTGCCATATTTATTTTTAAACAATTTCTTAGAAGAACCGTATGTCTAAAGAACAAGCAGACTGTTACAAGCAGTCACTTAATCAACCCCATCTCTGCCTCTCTCCACTGGCACAACTCTGAAGCAGCCCCTGAGCCAGGAGATCCAGGATGCGCTGCCTCCCAGGATTGCTGTGCTGGTTCAGAGCCTGACCAGCCTGGACAAACCAGCCATTCCCAAAACCATCCTCCCAGAATCAATGTGCCCGCTCAGCCCCTCGGCACAGGCAGATCCCGGCGCGTCACTCACCTGCTCCTGTGAATTCATCACCCGCAGCTTCATCTGCTTCAGGTAAGTCGAGGTGAGGGGCATGTTGTAGTCAATGATCCCAGAAACCAAGGAGGAAGGTGGCTCGCTCTCTGAAGAACAGAGGAAAAGTGTTACTTAGATGAGGGACCTGCAGGTATGTTCTTGTAACAGTTACTATGGGGTATTCAGGAGAACTTCAAATCCCTGGCAAGAGCCACCACCTGCTGAGAGAAGGTTCCTCTAAGAACTTGACCCCACCAAGAACATAATTACAGAACAGATGTTGTCTTGGGGAAAAAAAAAAAAAAAGCATTGCTGTCACCTGTGGAAAAATAAGCTACATATAATGTATAATTTTTCAGTGTCCCTCAAACTTGAGGAAGAAACCAAGTCTTGCTGAAGCCTCGGAAGCGCTTCCATGCACATGGGATTTATGCAGGGAGTGATGAACAAGAATCTATTTGCAGCTTGCTTCAGCATTGCAAAGTCTTGCCAATTTTGCTGGGATTCCCTCAGGTAGGAGTTAACATTAAGGCAACGTATTAAGTATCTCTATCTGGTGATGATGATTATTTTTAACATCCTCATTAAAACACAAACTTAATTTTAGAGATCTTTAATTTAAATTGTTCCTGTTGATTCCTCTGGCTGTATCACACTGAGCTCTAGAGATGGCTCCAAGTTTGGATGCTCCTGCAAATTGCTCTGTCTGGCCAGGCCCCACAAAGCAAATTCTCAGTGATTTCTCTGAATTCTCAAAGATTTTTCTGCTCTGCCAACACCACTGTGGGTCCTGCAGGACACAGAACATGAAGGCTGCTGGAATGATCTGTTCTAACACTGAATTTGCAGGCTCATGCAGTGGGTTTGTCCAGAAGGAAAGCTGCCATTGTTCACAGGGACGGCTGATGGCTACAAGCAAGATTTTTTTTGCCTTCAGCACAGGCAACTGCAAGTTTGGAGAATTAATCCAGCCCTCCAGCACATGTTGAAGAGATGTGTGGTACCCACTGGACAGGGAGCTTAAGCAGCAACAAGGGAAGAAGGATTCCCAGGAGCTGAAGGTGAACTTATGGTGGGAGGTTTCCATTCCTGTTTCTGAATCTCCCTGGCTGGCTTGCATTTTCTGGGGTCACTGGTTTCACAGGCATGTGTGACAGAGCCCCTTGAAAAAGAGCCTTCACAAAATGTTTTACAGCACCTCAGAAAAGCCATCAACCCAGTCCTAATGGGTCTGCTTCTCAGAAATGCTGAGTGTCAAAAAATCCTGTTGAAACTCAGCAGCCCTGAAGATGCTCCACACCTCTGGAAACACCACATCCATCATGTCTGATTAAGAAATTACCTGACCTCAGAACCGCCTGTAATTGACTTAAACATCACAAAGGTCTTTGCAAATCTTCTCTATCAAGACATTGACTGGGTCCATGGAAATACAATGCTTTTTATCTCATGTTCATCTAGTCCATTCCTGGGTAGATGGAGCCTTCCTGCCTGTGGGTGCAGGGAAGGGTGGCTAGTGCCACTCAAGTCATCAGCTTGCCCAAATATGAAGGTCCAAAGCTTTTAGGAACCTTGTAAACTGATTCTTCCATCTTTTCTCATGGCTTTTTGTCAGCAGTCTCTGTCACACTTTGACCTACAGATTAGGAGCACTTCTATGTCTCTATATATTAAACACCCAAAATAAACCCTTATTCTGCTGTGCATGGATGCTGTGCTGTGATGAAAAAATGCTAAAATCCCAGAGCAAGGGGAGCTTTTCACAGGAACAAAACCTGCCACCTTCCCCAGCTGGCTGAGTCCCTAAGAGTTTAGGAAAGCTTTTGCTAAGAGTAACACAGATTGAGCTGCTCTCTCTCCTGAAGCTCAGGCATGGATGAGGTGAGTGTTTCAGATCTCTGAGGATTATGAATTGCTGTCCTGCCATTCCCCACTCCACTGCTCATCGCTGCAGAGATGAATGAAGCTGAACAGGAGCAGCTCAGCAACTTCAGATGGGGACGAAGAGGGAGATAAGTGATCTTTTAGTGCTTAGATCCTGGCTGAAACCATCCTGATGTAAATTTGGAACAATCCCATTAGAGGCCACAAATTTACTGTGAATTTGTGCAACTGAACCACATAAGGGTTTGAGCCTAAGAAACCAACCCCCTTTTTTTTTTTTCCTCTTTTTCTAAGTTATCTGGAAAAGAAAGAAAACCTTTGTTTTAAAAGGCCTGGGGGGGCTCCATGGGAACAATCCTCACATCCTATGTCACAAGAGGAAGCTCCTGGAATCCTTTAGCTCGTTTTTCAGTTATCTCTATCACATGCCCCACATGTTGGACACACAGATGGAACAGGCAGAAATGGTTTTGATTCTAGTTCCACATTTTATCACTCCACCAGAATTACTTCTAATTTAATAACACCGTAAAGAGATCCCAGTGAAGTCCAGTGACGTTCAAACTTTCCCACAAGCAACACAATTTGCTTTTATGATGTGGGTGCCCTGCAGGGTTTGATGTCAGATATGTTTAATTAGGGATTTTTGTGATCACAAATTAAATGTGTTCAGATTTGTTTCACAGACAAGAGAAATAGAAAGAGATGGGAATTACTCAAATTTTGTCATCTCACTGAGTTAAACTTTACCTGTGTGCTTCTATGTGCATATGCATGTGCATACACCTCAGTAATTCTTCTATGACCCCAGTGGTTTTTTTAGGTGATTTGCTCCTGATAAATTCCTGACTATGTGTTAGTGAAATCAAACACCCTTCCCCAGTAAAAGTAACCTTATCTAATCTACTCAATGCATTTTCACATGTACTTAGTCACTATTTAGGTGCTATTCAGGAAGAAAAGCACTTCTGTCCTTTCATTCCTGGAGGGTAAGACTTTTTTCCTGTGGGATCCTTTGTATTCCTGATTGGTTTATTTTTAAAAGAACTGCTAAGGGGAGAAGCTTTATGAAAATAACCAATAATTGATATTAAGTTACGAATTTGTTCAGGACAGATGTATGTCAGCCTTGATCATGGTTCCCACAGCTAGGACCACACTCTGGGGGTTATCCACAACCAGGTATTCCCTGAACTGCTTCTGAACAGGGTGGGTGTGTGTTGCTGGGAGAGACACAGGAGATGCAGGATGGTGGGTGGGTGGAAGCCCCTGAAGGAAGACCAAGTTGGATGGCCTTTGAGCAACTCGATCTAATGGAAGATGTCCCTGCCCTTGGCAAGGGGTTGGAATGAGATGGACTTCAAGGTTCCTTCCAAACCAAACCAGTCTGTGAAGGAACAACAACCCTTTTCATTAGATGCCTCCTGACACAAGATCCCAAACTCTGGAACTGGCAGCTCAGCTACTGCCAGGCATTTAGGAAGGTGTCTTGGTGTGGGTGAAGCTAACAAGTGACATCCCTGTTGGCCTGACTCATCCCATCACCCTTCCTGTCCATGAGCTGGCTCCTGCAGCCACAGTGCCGGAACGTCACCCGTGAGGGATGCAGAGCAATCAGTGTGAAGGTCAGCTTTGCTCCCAGCAGGGCCAAAGGCCTAAACTTTTCTTGATGTAATTGTAAAGAGGGATCAGGCCCTTAGCTGGCAGAGTGGGAAGTGTTGTGGTAATGGAGCTTCAACTAATAGAATTCACATGGAGTTATTTGGGAGAGTTTTTGAGAGTTTTTAAAAATGTAACAAGTACAAAGCATTTGAGTCACTACCTTTGGATAGATGGCACATAATCCATTTACACAAAACCTCTGGGACGTCCTTAGCTCTGCTCCCAGCAGTAAACAGTTGGCAATCAGTATTTAATACTAGAAATTCTCTATTGTTTGGCCTTTTGTTTCTTAAATTCTGCTTCCCTTCTTGATAAGAGCTGCCAAGTGAGCCACTTTGCCTTGCCACTTTTGAAACAGACCAACTCCCTGCAGTTTGCTTAGTTCTTTTTAAAAGAAGCAATTTTAATGGCTGAAACCAATATTACTTTGATGCTTTGCACTTGATCATGAAAATAAGTTTGTAATTCAGAAAAAAACCACATAAACATTTAACCAGCTACAGTGGAAGACAATCTGTTCCCATCCTCTTCCCCATCCTGCTTTCTCTTAGACCTAAGGAGATGCAAATTGGACCTGTCCACAAAAGAACTGTAATGAGTCAACCACCTCACTGGTCACACTGTGTACACAGGCACAGTGTAACTGTGATTGCCAAAACACTTGCCATTATCTAACTCAGGATCACGTGCTTATCTATTAATTAGTGTAAATTGCTTCTTTATCAGAAACTTCAGCTATTCAGACATATTCTGTGTCTTTCAATTCAAAATTACCAGTTACAGGGAAAAACTTTAGGTTATATTTTTTAGAAATTCAAGTTTCCACCCACACATGATCATGGGTGCAGCCATATCTGTGGTATTTTTGACCCGTATTTTGGGCAGCACTGGGGAAGCTCGGAAAGAATGCCAGGCTGTTTCTGCTCCCTAAGCTGTAAGAAGCAGGTTTATACAATTCCTTCAGCTTGGCTATAAAATGAAAAATAGCCTAGGTTAGGAAAACCCTTAGTTCAGGATGTATCTCCTGGGCAGGGCAGTATCTGGCAGCTGTTGGTGGCACTGTGCTGGTGCAAAATGCAATGTCAGCTCTGCTGGCACTTTACCTTTGGGCTCCAGGCCGTTGGAGTTGAAATGCATCCTCTTCTGGCACTCAGTGCAACTCATCAGGAACCTGGTCACAGCTTCTCTCGGGAGGAAAGCATAGGTCTCTGCAATCTGGGGGAACAACAGAGAGCTGTATGTCCTGGGATAGGGAGAATGGGGCAGAGAGCACAGGGACCATGTGCATAACTCTTAGCCACACCTGGTCCCCTCCAGCCCTAAATCCCTCCCTCCAGAGCAGCTGTTGGTGGGGGAACACTTTGGGAGTGTAACTGGTGTGCCAGTGAGGCACCAAGACACAAATGAACAGACCTTTGTATCCCTCAGTACCCATTACCTTCCCAGAAAATCCTCCCATTCCCCCTTGGAGTCTGGGAAGAGCAAAGCTATGAACGTGTAAGAATCAAATGTTAAAGTAAGGCCTCGTCAGCTCTGTTTGCATTGTTAATTACCATCACACCAGTAACCTGAAGAATCCATTAATCTTTTGTAAGGGCAGGTCACTTTTTCCCACAATGACAATCAATTACTGTTAATAATACTTTGCACTTCTGTGACATATTTTATCTAGGGAATTGAAAACATTTTTCCAAACAGTAATGAATTAAGTCTCCTGAACCTTTGTGGGATATGTATTTTACAGATGAGGAAAAGCTAAGGATAAATATTTAAAACTTGGATGCTTGAAGTTAAACAATAGATCCAGACCTAAGCACCTACAGAAGGTGTCTGGCAATCCCAGAGTCCTATTATTGCAATTAATTCCTGCCAGCAGTAATTTTACAGTATTTCTAAAGATCAAGACTAGGTTATTTGGAGAAGGAATGAGTCAATTTTAATGCAGACTTCTTTAAGGCCATAGAAGACCATCAAATCTTGGAGTCTGACCTGTGTAGCACAAGTCATGAAACTTCACCCAGGTTCTCCAGCAGCCCAGTGGCCTGTGGTTTGCCTAAAACATCATCCAGGAAGACATCTGGTCTTAATTGGAAGGCATTAAAAGGTGGAGAGCCCACCTCTTACTTTGGGCTGGTTCCTATGGTTAATCTCCCATCCTGTTTGGTCTAAGTGACTTGTCCGAGCACGGCAGCTCCCAAACCAGGGGCCGTGACCCCCACAGGGGTCACAGCACTTACAAGTGGGGTCATAAAGCAGACAGAAATTCAATTGTTTGTGCCAGTCCTCAGGGCTGCGAGCCCGGCAGAAGTGGGGCTGAGGACGGGAAGTGGGGCTGCAATCAGACACCTCGTGGGTGAGGGCTGGTGACGGGGCTGAGCTGGGAGAACGGCCCAGGATGTCCTGATCCCCCTCCTCTGGCCAGTGGGCATCATCCTCCTATCTTATAGAGTTAACAAATAATACCTAAATTCTAAAAGTCCACATTAAATACAAAAATACCTAAATTCCATGCATTTTTCTACCCTGAGGGGGTGCTGTTCTAGAAGCAGAGCAGCGGGGCAGGGGCAGAGGCTTTGCTGGATCATGGCTAAGGCAGCGCCGTGCCCGGCTCTGCGGTGGGAGGGAGCCACATCCATCTCCACTGCGCGGCAGCAGAGCCCGGGCTTTCACACACACAGAATGCCAGATGGGTGGAAAGTTCAGGGGATCTTGTCCCAGCGCTCAAATGGAGGCTGCAGTGCCTGGTCCTCATGGGATTCTCCTCCTATTTAGCTGCAGCCCCAGCGAGCTCTGTTGTGGCCAAGCGGATGCCAGCTCAGTCTTCGCCTCTGTGTGATATTTATCGATGCACAAGCACAAGGGATTCCTGCAGAAACGCTGAAATGAGGGGCCTGGAAATTGCTGGTGGCAGCCGTGGTGTGGTGTTGCAGGCAGGGAACTGTCCCTGCGTGCTGCCTGCCGGGCTTAGCCGTCTCCTTGCCTCTTTTGCTCCAGCAAGCCCACAGTCTCTGCTGCAAATGTTCAGCTAATTTTAGTGATACAGTTGTTATTTCTCAGCTGATTTGATGCTCTGCAGAGCAGACAGCTTCCTTGATGAGTTATCTCCCATCCAAACTCCCTTTCTGATTGCCTCCCTCCGGAGGTCATGGACAAGGGCAAACTCTCCAGTGTCTCTAATCAGAAGTGGTGGGGAAAGGGAGCAGGGAGAAGGAAGCAGGGGATCCACAGCCTCCCAACTGGCCACCCAGCAGAGTCCCTTTGTGCACCCGTGTCAGGCATGGCGTGTGCTCTGCACCATTTCACCTTCCAGCTCACAAAGGCGCTCCGGGGAGCAAGGGCAGGAGTGAGGGCAGGAGCGAGGCTGGGCAGCCCAGCCAGCAGCGTCCTGCCAGGTCAGGAGGGGATACACGCTGCTAATGTGATGATCTCAGCTCAAGAGGGAGATGAGGGGTGGAGCGTGAAGCTCTCTGACTGCTGTGAGCAGGCCTGGGAAAACAGACGGATCCAGCCTGCTCCCCTGGGGCTGTGCAGGGCACAGATTAGTCCTCCAGAGAGATGAATTGAAGGAATTAGGGAAGGGTCGGTGTGGTCTGCTGGGGAAATGAGCAGAAAGTTTTTGAATTGTGGTCATGCTGGTGGGGCTGCCCTCCCTGGACCATAGAAAGGTCACTTGCCCCCAGCCAGGGAGGGTCAGTGTGTGCCTCAGCCCCCAGCCTCACGCTCAGCCGCAGGAGCAGGGCAGGGAGTGATGCCATGAGCTCTGTGTGCAGAGCTCTGCTCCCTGGGGACTCCCACCACATGTGGGAGGCTGCAGGGCACTGGGCTGCCTCACCAGCACCGCCAGCACCACAGCGTGGATGGAGCATGGACATAGGCAGGCAGGACAGACTCCAACCCTGTACTGACTCTGGCAGCACACTGAGCTGGGCAGAACCTCAGGCATCTTCACTGAGACAAGGGCAGCTTGCAAAGACCTCTCTGAGACATGGTATACACCAGAGAGATGAGCTGCCAGCGAGCTACTCCTGTCTGTAAGTGACCTGGTCCTTAGGGCTGTGGGATTCAAGGGAGCAGCTTGGTTTTGGACAGTAAATTCAGCTCTTCCTGTAAAAGGATAGCCTAAATGTTTGCATTGAAGGGCTGTGCAGAGTCAGGAGAAACAACAAGCTCCCTAGAGAAGCACACTTCAAGCTAAATTATTCCTGACCTAACTAGAGTGGTGTTTCAGGATGGATAGAGCTGGTTCTTGGCATCCATAGAACCAAGACAAGACTTAGCTTGGTGCCTGCCTCCATTTTGTAACTGAGGAAACCTAGGATGGGCTGGAGAGGAGGGGAAGGCCACAGCCATGCCCCAATCCCCTTTTCTGGCTGCTCCTGACCTTCAAGGCCCGCATGAGACATTTCCCTCTGGCTGAAGGAGACAGGGAGGCAGATGACCCAGAGCATGCAAGGGACTGGATAAACATTCTCTGGTCCATCACTAATACTGAGGATTTCTCTTCCTTTACCCTTCAGACATGCACAGTGTCTTTGTATGATTCCCTCGCTCTCTCCTCTCCCAGCAGCCGCGCTGTGCTGCCGCTGCAGCCCGGATTCCTGTCCCCGAGCACAGCTGCTCTGCCTTTAAACCCCTCCTTCCTCACGCCTCCCCGCACAGGCACACTGGGCTCTGCCTCGCCTCTGCCTCCTGCCAGTGGCTCTGCTTCTACCTGCCCTGTCATCCCCGTTCCCCAGGGATTGTCCCTCCTGCAGCCCCTCCGCTCCAGTGCCCTCCCTGCCCGGGGCACGGGGGGACTCTCACCGCTCGGTAGGTTTTCTTCTGCCCGGCATGTTTGGGTGCTTTGCCCGGCTCCGACGAGCTTTCCACATGCATCGAGTAGATGATGTCAAAGAAATCTTCCACCACAGCCACGCGTTTCAGAGAGATGCCCTCGGGCTCCGACAGTCCATCTGCCCCCTACAACAGTGCAGGCAAGTTGAGTTAGTGTCAGCAGTGGGTGACAGGGGTGACGAGATCGGCCCGGGGCTAATGTGGTTGGAGGGGGCAGAGTGGCAGTGCTCCCGCCTCGGGCTGCCTTGGGCACGGGGGATGTGGGGGATAAATTAAACATCGCTTCAGGGAGGATCCTGCTGTAGCCAGGGCAGTGGCGGCTGCTGCTGTTGTGCTGCTAAAGCTGGCAATGAAATTGGGCCAGGAATAAAAACAAGGGAAGAGTCCAGAGTGGAGTCACAACTGATCAAAAAATTCAATTTCCGTAATGTGGGATGGTTTTGCTAGGCGGGGAACAGGCAGGGGAAGCTCTTGGGACTGGCACATGGTGCTAAACCATCCTAGGAAGCCCTGAGATGTGAGGTACTCTCGCTGGCTGCAGTCCCCATGGACATGGATCAGCCAGCAGGACAAGGTTTCACTGTGATGCCAGGATGCAGCCCCTAAAGGAAGGAGCCAGCATCCCCTCCTTCCCTGCACTGACCTTTCCAAGGCTCCCTCCCTCTCACAGACGCAGAGCAGCTGAGCGCTGGCAGCAGCAGCACAGCTCTTTGTGTGTTCGGATGTGCTGGAGAGCAGGAGGCAGTAATTCTGCCACACGACAGTGGTGACAGACTGATGGGAGTGGGAAGTGTGGGGAGCAGTGCTCCTCCGAGCTGACTGGCACCAACGGTGTCAGCTCACACTGGCACGGTATGCCGTGGGAAGGGGAGGCAGCCTCTGGGACCCGGCAGCTGCTATCAGCACTCGGCACAAAGCACCGGGGCAGGAAGGGGTAGTGGGAGGTGGTCAGTGGCTACTGTAATGGCAGGGGGGACTGAGAAAGGGCCAGGCTTTGGGAGGTCACTTAGCTTGCTCCTTGAAAATAAACAAAAAAAAATTAAAAATATAATACATATATGTACATATATGTATATATATTACGTCCCTTTAAGGGCTGCTTTCCAAAAGGAATGCATGGATGTTGTCCAGTGGGTACCCACCAGGCTGCTAAGCAGCAACCTGCACATCTAAGTGACCTGCAAACTATCTTTTTCAGGTGTATTCACACGTCCCTGAGGGCAGGCAGAGGCAAGGGCTGTGGGCAGGGTCTGGCAGGGGTCTGCATGCAAAGGGAACAGCCAGTCTCCTAACCTGCATTTGTGTTGCCCTTGATTGGGCTCTGTGTATCTTCCACACTCTATAGATTGAATAAATGCTGTTCTTTAAGCCACCAGTGAAGGGCCTCTCAAAAATCAATCACTTAGTGGGCCCACCTTCTGCTAAAGCTACCCAACATCTCAGAGGAGCGGTCATTTAATGTACAGTGCTGCCTATTAGAGTTGGCTCCTCACCCCAATTTCGGAACAGAGACTGCCTGTCCTGGGCACAGGCTGCAGCGGGACGGTCGCTGAGCTCACCCGGGACACGGGCACGAGGATTTTCCAACACAAACCACCTCTGCCCTCCCCGGGGAGCCCCAAGCTGGGTCTGAAGGTGGCTGTAACAAAGAGAATATTGAGAGCGAACACAAGGGGCAGGGTGGCAGGGCTGCGTGGTGGGGGTCGGGAAACTTCGCCCCAGGGAGTGTCTTTGAGGAATATAGATCTAATTTCTTCTGTCACCGTTCAGAGAGTTTCAGTTTAATCGAGGGCATGGGTATTCCCCTGCCAAGGAGGAGCGGGCATTAGGAGGCTTCCTACTGACCAATAATCCTCAGAGCAGGGTTGAAATGAGGATAATTACAGAAACAGGACAAAGGAAAATGCAGCAGGGAAAAAGCACAGTCAGATCTAACAAGCAGAGCCCTCAAAATTAAGGCTGTAACCAACCCTGTATGCAAATCACTGTTTCCAGCCAGCTAATATCCTCCTCCTTGCACGGCCAGCAGGTCGGTGTTTCCTCCCCGGTTTCAGAAGGAATGCAGTGAAGGTAACCTCAGGGTCTGGGCATTGCTACAGCCTCCCTGCACACCCAGCAGCGCTCTCCTCTCCACCCCGGCTGGATGCCGGATGCCGGAGCTGCCTCCTCAGCATCCCACTCCCTGCAGCGATCCTCCCCTGACTCCTTGCATCTCTCCATCCCCTCCTCAGCCTTGTGACTGCTCTCCCCGTGATGATTATTTAGCTTTGGGAAGCAGGTGAGATGCAAGCAGTATCAAAGCCACTGGGTATAAGAAGCTGTATCAAGTCAGTGCCTCCAGGATTAGGGAGGTTTATATCTGGCAATATACCCAAATGTTGACCTAGGATTTAAGAGGACACGTGTGCTGTAGAGTACCTCTCCGAGGGGCCCACGCCCCTCGGGTTCCTCCTTCCACACCCAGCATTGCTCACCAGTATTCAAGGCATGAGTCAGAGCCCATAATATCTCATAAAGGCTTAAAACCCCTCAGGTTTAAATAGCAATAAAAAATCATTTGGGAAGCAAAATGGGAAGAGGGGATGCTTTTACCCTGTCCTGGTGTTGGGGCTTTATTAGAAGTCACCTGCCCCTGCAAGGAGTAAAAGATTTCAGGAGCAAAGATCAGTTCTGACAGAGGTGCTTGGAAGTGGGTGGCATTTCAGGTGCTGAGGAATCCCTCTGCCACCTCCCATCCATCCTCCTTTCCCCTATATTTGCTCAGCACCGGTTTGTCTCTCCCCCTTCCCAGTCTCTCCTTGTCTCTGTGTACTGTGCTCCACAGTTCTCACCCCTCCCTTTCCTCTCACCCTCCCCACCTTCCCAGAGCTGTGAGCTCCTCTCAGCTCCTCTCCTCCATCAGGTCTTTTCCCTCCCCAGTGTCCTTTGTCTTCCCCATCTCCTCTAGTTCCACATCTCTGAGCACTCGTACCCCCGGGACCCTATGCCCCAGGACCATTCTCCTGGGCCTCGCTGCCGCCGCATCTCCTCTGTCCCTGCTCCATCCCTCCGACCCCGGCCGCCTCCAGCACCCGCGAATCGGTGCCGGGAGGCGCCTCTGCGGGCCGAGGTCCCCTCCCGTGCACGGCCCCGGGCGGCGACAGCCATTTCAGGCAGCGCTGTCCCGGCTGCGGCACGGGCCGGGCAGCGCTTCCCAGGGCCGGGGACCGG